AAACTTAGAACACAGTGATTTTTCTATTGCGATTTATAGCTGTCAAAGTCGCAAAAATCGCAAATTCTGCGAAAATCAGAAAATTTTGAGGTTATTTCATGTGCAAACGCACAGTAATATGAAAATACTGTAACAAAACAAGAAATTACCGGATACTAGAGTCTCTTTATACTGAGAGTCAAGACAACACCCCTCATGGAGTCACAAACGGGAATAAAGATTACAGAAATTGAACGTTCTTTGTAATCTTTGATCGGCCCATTCTTAAATTCCTTTCTCCGTTCCTTCTCTCATTCCGTTTGTTCCTTGCGGAACCCGTAATTCCCTGGTCCATTCCAGATGATAATCTTTGCAATTGGTGAAAATGTAATCTTTATTCCCGTTTGTGACACTGTGAAGGCCTAAAATACGGGAACCAATCAGACATGGATTCACATTGTCTTGACTCTCAGTATAAAGGGACTCTACCGGATACAACAAGTCATAGGGTGGCCACACTACTCATTTGAACATTGATGAGAACGCAATCTACCAGAGAATCGCTGAATTAACGCAAACATTCGACAGACGGCTCTGAGCCGTCTCTTCAGATCTGGCCCAGCGTAGCAAGGACGGCTGGGAGCCGTCGGTTTAAGTAAATGGGTTAATTAAAAGTTAACTATCTTTACCAGTTGATTTGATAGTTAGAGTAATGAAATTTCAAGACTGTTACTAAACAGTGGACTAATTCAACATTTTTCATTTTATCTTAAACACATCATTTTGCTTATTCTGGATGATCAGGAGGTGAACTCGGTTTTTTGAACCATTTAATATTAGAGTCAAATACCAATAACGAGTTGTAAATGAAATGATAGTGCAGAAACAAGGCATTAAATGCTTAAAGAGCAAAGAGTTACCTGTAGTCGCCTCAATACAAAAAAAATTATTATATTTTGAAGGTAACAAGACAAAATTTAACATAATAATTCTTTCTGATAATATTAAGTTGAAAATAATAAAACTTTGAGGATAGCAAATTCATCAAAGAAACTATACAGAGCGGCATACTGATCACTAAATTTTTTATCATATTTAATATAAAGACATGGGTAAGATTAACACCAATTTTACAGTGAGAACATACATGAACTTGATTTCACGTCCTCCAAACAAACAGTAATATGTCTGTCCTAACATGTGTTAATCTGTTTATGAACAAAAAGTATAATTAGTCTTAACCTACTTGAGAATCTTCAGACGTTAACCGTTTTCATATTCTTTGCAACAAATTAGATAGCCTCTTAAGAAAATTTCCGTTAAGTCGAAATCAACAACCAAAACGGCATAGAAATCGAAGCATCATGACTAACAGTACGAATAAAGTTTTGCCATGGCCTAGCGTCATTTGCACTGCAACTTTACAAATTAAAGGGCCCTGGTCAATGAAAGGAATAAGCTCTGATGGCTTTGACATCAAAATACGCTGACAAATTGCTAAATATCGCCAACTAGACTGAAAATTATTGCAGTTATGGAGTGAAAAATATCAAGGTGATTTTAATTGACATCGTTAGCAAAATACTGAAACAATAAAACAAAAAAAAAACGCTTTCCAGCCACAGTGGAAACGAAAGGTAGATTTCGACTAATCGTTTCTATGAAAACAATTGCGCCTAATGAGCCTGACAGGTCGCAAAATCGTCCCCCTTGAACTTGAAATTTTCCGGATAAGGAGTGATTTTAGAGGGTAGGTGAATATAGGTCGTTTTGAAGGCCACGACGAGACGAGTTTTTTGACGTATCACCGACCAAGATCGGACGAGTTTGAAAAATCATCCCCCTTTGGACTTGAGATTTTCAGGATAAGGGGTGGTTTTAGAGGGTAGGTGAATATAGGTCGTTTTGAAGGCCACGACGAGACGAGTTTTTTGACGTATCAACGACGAAGATCGGACGAGTTTGAAAAATCATCCCCCTTTGGACTTGAGATTTTCCGGATAAGGGGTGGTTTTAGAGGGCAGATGAATATAGGTCGTTTTGAAGGCCACGACGAGACGAGTTTTTTGACGTATCACCGACTAAGATCCGACGAGTTTGAAAAATCCTCCCCCTTTGGACTTGAGATTTTCCGGATAAGGGGTGGTTTTAGAGGGTATGTGAAGATAGGTTGTTTTGAAGGCCGTGACGAGACGAGTTTTTTGACGTATTGCCGACGAAGATCGGACGAGTTTGAAAAATCATCCCCCTTTGGACTTGAGATTTTCCGGATAAGGGGTGGACCGATTTTCACGGAAAAGGAAACTTGATCTAGACCTCATAGCAGTGAAGAACCATGCTTAGTTTCGTTTTGATCGTACGGATAGTTCCGGAAAAAAACGGTTCGTTAGATCCCAGTCATATATATATAAATATATATATATATATATCGTACTTTTTTTATGACCCACATTTTTCAACTCAGGGCTTCAGGATCGATGCTCTTTGAGCGAAAATTCCGGAAAATTACGAGGTCGTACCGTCTGCAATAGGTAGATATTTCTTCGAAATCTACCTAATCGGTATCCGATTAATGAGTGACAGGCGTTTTGTGTCTTGCGCATGAAAAGGGTCTTAATTTTGTAGGACGCATAACACAGGCTAGGTGAGAGGTGCGGCAGCCCTATGATACTTCTGTAAGTAGAATCTGCAAAAAGTCTACCGTACTTCACGCCTTTTTGTTTCTCTCTTAATAACTTGGTGAATATTGAGAGTTGAGCTTTCAACTTGATGAAGATTATGGACGATTTGCAGTATTTCTCTATATTTACATAGAATTAATCAGTGGACGGAAAAAGATAAAACAAAATTAAAAGCGTCAAAGTCAGTAGAAGTTGTATTCTCTAACAGACCGTTTGTTTACATCCCCCTTTGCTTAGGGGAAACTGAAATTCCCAACAATAAAATCGCTAAATATCTCGGCCTCCATCTGGATTCCAGGCTCAGGTGAGGTCCCCACATTAAGAAAAAAGTCGCTCAACTGCGACTAAAATTCTCCAATATGCAGTGGCTCTTGGGTCGTAAATTTCGGCTTTCCCTTCAACTAAAGCTGCTTCTCTACAAGTCAATGTTGAGGCCGGTTTGGAGTCAAGTCAAATTTGGATAAAATTGAAGTCATACAAATGAAGATCCAAGATTGTTAAAGATCGTTGGTATGAGAGGAATGCAGATATTCCCGCTGACCTCAATATTGACTCTGTAGAGAATTACATCACAAAGATGTACTCTGCGTATGAATTAAGATTGCATCGGCATCTCAACCAAGAAGCGCTTGCGCTCTTGGAATGGGACCGGTGCAGTCGCAGGTTGAAAAGGCGTAAGCCCTATGAGCTTGGAATCTAGGGCTTTTCAAAACTCTTCCCATAAAACAAGTGTGCCTCCCCGTACCTTCGGACGGATCAGGGGTTCCTTGATCTTTAACCGGTGACGGTCAATCACAGTCTTTTAAAACAATAAAAGAGAAAAGAAAAAAGACAAACAAAACTAAAATAAAAAGACATTTTTATTCTGAAAATAATTATGTACTTTTATCTCCTCGTTATATTGAGGGTATAAATATTTATCTAACAATAGTTAGTTAAAGTTAAAATGTATCTTAGTTAAAAGCTAAAATTTAAATTGTATATTTATTTATAAGTTACTTACTTAAGTTAAAATAAGCTTTTAAAGACATTAAAGATGCCTATAAGTGTATTCATTCTACAATAATTTCTTGTGTACAAATAAAAAAAAAGTACTTCTCTGTAGGCGTGAACAAGCAACAATGATTTCCGCGCAAAATTTGACGGGCATGTATAGGTCTAGGGAATCTATTATCATAATAACTCGCAAGAATAAGTTAACTCAGTGATTAAGCTTTTCAACGGAAACAGGGTCCATTCCCAACTCAAAATATCCATTTTTAATGTTACGTCCCTTTGTCGTGCAGGTGACAATATAGTTTTTTCCCCAAGTAAATCCGGATTAGCGGGAGAAAACTTAGATAACAAGCTCCTGAAACTCAGGGAAAGATCAAGGAATGAGCATGGTTCCGAATTCTAGACACCATGCTATGAAGCTACAACCTAACCAACTACGGTGTGAGAGTCATAGTTCTGGCTACATAATCAGCAGGTTCTGGGCTCGATTCCCGGCCGAACAATCTGATACCAGAATCACACATTGAATGTGGCTTAAATGTGGAAGTCATCGGTCTGATGCCTGAATTTTGGGCGTGTCGCGCAAAATTCAGCAACAAGGCTCAGCAACCATCGGATAATGCCGGATTTGTCCGAACTATTCTAAAAGATTTGATACAAATCTGGATGAATTTGCGATCAGCCATTGAGCGATGACTGTTGACTTTCATATTCAACCGTCAAATTTAGCATGTAATACCGTCATGAGTTTGATGGTCTCCAGCAAGGGTCATCTAGAGGTGGTTGTGAAGTAGGTGATTGAGGTAGTAAAAGTAGGATTAGTCCCTAAGAGCTAACCTAAGTATAGGGGGAGGATTACAAGTGCAAACATCCGTTCTAAGAATATTGTAAATTGTTAACTTTTACCGTAAGTTAACACACCCTTTGCTTGGAACACAAGTTTGTCTGCTGGAAGACTATGTTGTATAAAAAGTATGTTTCAGTCTATGATGTAAGAGAGTAAAATTTGACTCTGTCAATATTTCCCTTTATAGGAAATATTAAATCTTTTCATCGCCTAGAACATAGAATCGGAGTCCAACAAATTCGTCACCTTCCTGCAGCATTTCCGCTATTACTCAGCAACCATCACTCAAAAGTACTCACATTTGTAGCTCTCTCTATCCAAAAAGATCTGAACTACAACTTCAGACACTTCCTGAAAGAGTGCGTTCCAAATGAATTTCCTTTCTCTTCTCTCTTTTATTATGTTTCTTTTAATGTAATATTTTCCTCTCAAAGAATTGATAAGTATTAAAGAGTCAAAAAATGATAAAACTAAGTTGGCGGTTATTGTATTCGCAGTGCCTTGCCGATTTATCCACCTCATTGTGACCAAGCACCTGCTCCCTGGTGGGACAGGGACGCTGATCGATCCCTTGTAGTTGGCACGTACAAGCACGGCTATGAATCTTACTCTCAGATGAGGAGAGATCCTGCTTTAAGTTTCCTAGCACGATGTGGTCCTGCAAGCTCCACGTAAGTAGCATGCCCTAGATATAATCCTGCTTTTGTTTTACATTTTGTCTGCTTTTGTCGTATCATCATGCAAGTTACTGCAACTACCTCCTGTCCTACTTTCGGATCAGAAAAATTTAGGCACCCACTTATTCACTCCTTTCTGGTTTAACTTTATTCGCTTGATGTGGAGGAGCAGGAACTAATTTCACTGATACTTTTAAGTAAAGGTACAGTATGGAAGTAGCAGTGTCCAGACATATCAGCTCAATTCAATTCTTGAGTCAGAGAATGTTCCTTTTGTATCAGAAGAAACAGTTGAATGAATTTTCCGCTTAATATCTTTCTTTTACTGAATCCTTTTCAGAGCTTCTGCATAAGTGAGGGGCTTGGAGGACTAGGCGCATAAGTGCAGTTTTTGCTACTTCGAGAAATATGTGTTCGTAGTTTCGAAATTACATGGATCCTTATGGGGGAAAGAAAGTTCAGACTGACTTTTTGCTGCTTATGAATTGGAATTTGGGAGCAAATTTTTCGCGGAATATGCATTAAGACTAGTTTTACTTAAATCATTAATATCTCCATTTTTTCCAACACTGTACTCTAAGTATCTGTCCTCCAAGCCCCTCAATTAATGTACCTTTTTCTAGTTTGAAGCGACATTACCTAGTCAAAAAATTTCCCTCAGAGTGATGCTTCATATTTTCATTTAAGTTCTAATCTACGTTCACGACTTATACATTTTATTTAATCATCGTCATCAGAAGTGAGAAGCACTGAGAATACAACAAAAAACAACTAATTCATTAGAAAAATACTGATGCAAACGCACCAAGTATGAATTTACACACTTTACTTATTCTAACATACCTTCTGAATTTTATGTCGGAGGGATAAACATTGTGTTCTTTTGTCGCTCTCCCGTTAGGTTTTACAAACTCATACTAAAACTCAGAAATTATCACAACGACCTCTTAAAATACTTGAACAAACTTTACAGCATGGAATCAATCCATCTAGTTGAGAAATTTATTACACGCTTAAAAAATCGATCCGAAGAAAATGGAGGAGGAATTTATATTAAAATCAAAACAGAATCATTCGGAACACTGCATTTATGCCTTAAGAAATAAAATAAAACCAAAATTAACCTCTCTAAGTTTCTTACAATTCAGAAAAAAAAAAAAACTGTAGCACTCCAGCTTTTCTCTCTTTTTGCAAAATGAAATTTTAGTTCCACTTCCTAAAAAATGTCTGTTGACAGAATGTATTCACTACAGTGACCAATGTTACCTGAAGATGCCTCTTCGATTTTGGAGCGGATCCATGAAAAAGATTTTTGGACGCCAATTTTAGAATTAATACAAATTTAATATAGATGGAAATTTTTCTAATAGTGCTCTTCCAAGAATTTTGGTTAATACATCCCCAATTTTAGCATTCCCAGGAATTTCTACAATTTCTATTTATATTTAAGTTACTTATTAATTTAAAAATAGGTATCTATCATCAATATGTTTCAAGTTTTTAAGAGAACGTCCGTGATTTCTAAGTTCAATAGCACCACTGTTGTCCTGTTGTTATTGTAAATCCTGTGAAATCATCAGTTAACGTAACAAAATAATTCTTACTATCATATGGATCGCATTTTGCAAAAAGGTACCAGCGCAATTACAGTGTTGTGAAAAGGTTGCCTCCCAGAATAGCAAAAAGCTATTTTTACTGAGAACATTTTTTCATGCATGAAACAAAGACGTCAGGAAGGGCAAGGCTAGTGAAACGATTGAAATGAACCAAAAGTAAGCTAATCATGAGTTAGTAAATAAAATTGAACAAAAAACTAAACCGCTCGTAACTTTTACAACAAAAGTGAGGAACAAATAGCAAAATCAGTTAAAAAATCAACGATTCTGGCGAGACAGTCCCGATACGTTTTATTTGAGTGTCAGCTGCAGCCAATGGCCGGTGCGCGGGCAGTCATCGCAAGTGCGCTCGAATCTCCACGAAGGTCCTGCTATGCCGGCCGGGAAGATCAGTGGATTCTTATATCCGCTGTTTTTACAAATAACATGGTTTCCAGTTCATATCTCGCCGAAAAATTGCGCTGGAAATCTGAAACTTTGCATAGGCATTCTTGTGGGCTCCAGAATTCGAAAGCGTTTTTCCTAAAAATGATGGATATCTGCAACCGCCATTGTTACATATGAGTCCTCATATCATAAGCATTTTTAAAAGGAAAGAAGGTGCACGATCTTGAAAACACTGTAACCGCGCTGGTTCCTTTTTGTGAAATGCAATCCATACGTAGGTGAGTTAATTGCGCACATACAGGGTGATCCAGACCACCCATCCACTATCTTTTTTCTCGAAAACGGCGGAGAATTGAGCTTCGGGACAAAAACTTTCATAGGGTATATCGACCCTAAAGAATCGAATGAAAATATTTTCAGCCCCCCAAAATGGCCCCTTGAGGGGGTTCTGGGGGATCCCCCCCCCGTTTCTCCCAATTTTCAAGTAGGAAGGGTATGTTTTGACTTAGGATTCGAAATCTACGACAAAAAGTAAGAACATTTTGTGCTTTGCATTTTTTCCCTAAACCCCCATTTTTTGGAGTTATGGGGCATTTTTGGGGCAATTTTCAATTCGATGCTGTAAGCGGCCAAATTATCCAAATTTCAAAATCTAAAAATCTCCTGAGAAGAGAGGTCAATACCTTTTTATTGATGTCCTACATGACCCCTGTTGCTCCAAAATTTTGGGGGTCACGACCCCCCAAAAATTTTGGGGCTTTGGAGGGCCGTAAGTCGAAAATTTCTAATGGCCAGGGTATGTTTTGACTGCAGATTTGGATTCTACGCGAAAAGTTACGTAGAATTGATACGGAGCACGGCCTATTTGCTCCAAATTACCGAAGAACCCCATTTCCCCATAAGAAGCCGTGTATATTGGGAGAAAGTAAGGAGTAAAAAAGATTTGAGCAAATAGGCCATGCGCCATATCAATTCCACGTAACTTTTCGCGTAGAATCCAAATCTGCAGTCAAAACATACCCTGGCCATTAGAAATTTTCGACTTACGGCCCTCCAAAGCCCCAAAATTTTTGGGGGGTAGTGACCCCCAAAATTTTGGAGCAACAGGGGTCATGTAGGACATCAATAAAAAGGTATTGACCTCTCTTCTCAGGAGATTTTTAGATTTTGAAATTTGGATAATTTGGCCGCTTACAGCATCGAATTGAAAATTGCCCCAAAAATGCCCCATAACTCCAAAAAATGGGGGTTTAGGGAAAAAATGCAAAGAACAAAATGTTCTTACTTTTTGCCGTAGCTTTCGAATCCCAAGTCAAAACGTACCCTTCCTATTTGAAAATTGCGAGAAACGGGGGGGATCCCCCCAGAACCCTCTGAAGGGGCCATTTTGGGGGGCTGAAAATATTTTCATTCGATTCTTTGGGGTCGATTTACCCTATGAAAGGTTTTGTCCCGAAGCTCAATTCTCCGCCGTTTTCGAGAAAAAGATAGTGGACGGGTGGTCTGTATATCTGAATGCGAGAATTTCTAAGGGATAAACCGCACTTTCTCGCGAATTTTCAAACAGTAATTTTGAAAATTGAGTCGTGAGACACTCCAGTTAGGTTAGAGCACCACATCTTTTTCCTTTCACCTTTTTCTCGCTTCCCCGGAGGTCAATTTACAGAGTTATGATTCCCCTCTTTTTGGCAATTATAGCATAGCGTTAAGCACTATTTAAAATTTTAATTTTTGTTGTGCTTTGAATGAAACTTTCGATTTTTTGATGCCTCAAACGATACTGCTGTTTTTATTTCAGGTTTGTTTTATCGATCTATCTCAGCCTGAAGTCTTATTTTCAAGTTAGTCAGGTTTTGTTCTGCGCTGGGCGTTCATTTTTCATTTTTTTCCTTTTTTCAGACAGGAAGGCTGAAATTTCGGCCAAGAGTATGTTGTCTGTGATGGTTTAAACCGTTTTTAAGCAGACGTAAATGTTTTCTAGCCTACTAGCTCGTTTTTGCTTTTGGCATTTGTTTTTATAGAATAGGTCATTCAAATGCTTTCACATGTCCTGCAGACGTGCATGTCATGCTATGTACTATTAACTTTGATTCAGTTGCTGTAGAAATTACTCTATGCGCCTTCCTGTCATTTCTTTTCGTTTTGCTCTAAAAACATGCTGTGAAAAAAAAAAAAAATTATGCTCCATAACAATTGTATGGAACTTCTTATTTTGATGTATCAATCGAAAAAAACGGTGCATTCACTTAAAGCATAAGAATATTTTATTTTGATTAGGTGATTGGGAAAGTTTTTTTTGATCGGTGGTCAAAAAACTTTTTTTGACTTTTTCGAAACTTTAATAACTAACGTAATTTTTTTATTTCATCGAAGTATACGAAAAATTTCGAGAGGAACTATTCTGCGCACATTACACATTCGCAAACTGCAGATAGTTTTCTATCTTCTTCAGGGTATTTGGACTATTTATCACTGCATATGTTGGCAAGAATACGAGAAAATCATTACCTCCAATTTGAAATATCGTACATCCTCTTGCCCTCGACTCAGAGGGGAATTTAGGGTAGAGGGAGTGAAAAAAACCTTTTCCTCTTCTTTTTCGCAATCCATCAGCAAGGTTGTAGAGACATGATGGAAGAGCCCGCGCCTTCCTAGGCATGTAGATGCAGAACTGGATTAATTATACAAAATAAGGCATGAGTCATGATGTTTTACCTCATATTGAGGGCAGGAATGCATCTTTCCCAAGACTTATTGTTAGCCCTCTTCACCATCAACTATCAGTAAGGAAGCTCTGTGGAAACAAAATTGGATTAATGAATCAAGAGTAGGATCTATATCTGCTGATATAAGGAAAGAGTATTATTATCAAGTCCAATAGCAGAGCGTAGATGACTATTTTTTCTTTTAAAAAGTTAGGAACAGTCGGAATGATAGACAGTGGATATTCACATGCCTAAGAGCAGAGCCCAGGAAATATTTTCTACCTAGGGGTGCTGAAACGAATACTTATTGCTACCCTGTTGGTACTCCTTGCTCCGTATTAACAGTTAACTCCGAAAATACCGCAAGTTTTGGAAATGGCCGACTCTATCTAAACTTCTTGAGCTCTAAATCATAGCATTGTTGCCTTGCTTGTCTGATATTTAAGATGTTTTTCCTGTAAAATTGACACATGGCAACAGTCTATTCTTGCCAGCTACAAAACTTGAGTGGCTTACTGTAAGTGGTCTTTTACCATTAATTCTTTGTAAGGGAACCTTTTTGATAGCTGAACTGAAAAGGAGTTGAATCCGTAGTACCACTCAGAGACAGAATTTTCCACTGGCCTTATTCACCCATGATGCATGCATCTTCATGTATGTAAAACAATAAGGGTCGAAACCGTGTGATCCTTAAGTCTGGGGAACCACCAGGCCGATTTCCTTGATTTTAGTTGCAAACGGAAGCTGCTGATGTCCAAGTGATACCAAAAATCCGAAACTTTCAATAACCGCTCTTGAAAGTTTTCCTGCAGCTTGCAGAGCGAGTGATCAGGCGTCCATGAAGGGAAACCTCCTGGCCAGGCGCGGAGGAGAGCGAAGCAAGCTGCAGCAGCTAATAACCTTTAAAAGTAAAGCAAGTACCAATTAAAACCTTGTGTGCGCTTGAGAACTCATATTCAAGCACTTCCATGTGTTGAGGAAAGTGAAATGCCATAGTCGCAAAATCAAAGAAGTGGAGGAAACCACCAAATAATTGGCTAAGTAACCATTGAACCCTTCAACATTTTTTGCTTCACCAGTCCCCCCCCCCTCCAATGTTTGGACTCGTAATGAAGGAAGTGTTAGTTTAAGCATGATAGAATTTTGATAGGAACTATTTATTTTTTACAGTGAGGAGAAAGCATCCGAGATGAAATTTAGTGATATTGAAGATGAGAGTGTTGGTGGCTCCTCTCAGCCTCCAACTCCAACTCCTACTGTCCAGAGCACTGATGAACAGACGCTAATAGAAGAAGATCCATCAAAACCTCAGTGGCCGTCAATGGGGGATCTTAACTCTCGTCTCAGGCGGGTCATCTCATCGTATCAGAGATCATTTAAAAAAGAGGAACTGAAACTAGCACAGCGAGCCAAGGTATCGTATTTAACTAGCACCATCACTACCTCCAGATATGTCATATTAGTTGTCCAACCATACAAATTAGGGTGTGGCAACTGTTACTGTTACCAAAATCCAGTAGTTTTACCATCTTCTAATTCTGTTGTTTCGACGATTTCTAACCTTTGGTACTGCCCAAGTTGCATGTTTTTTTTTTTTTTTAAATTATTATTTGCTTTTTAATTACAATTTTCCCTTGCTCTCTAATTAAACAATGTCGAATTGAAACTCAATGTTGGAACAAAATTTGGGCTACATGTTTCCTCTTCACGGAAAAAAAAAAAAAAAAAATTGCTGATTCAACAGTTCAATTGCTAAGAACAGTGAGTGCAATGTTTCAACGCAGATTTTACAACAAAAAAATGCTACTTTAACCACCCCTGCGGTTAAATTAGTTTACAATGTGGTTAAAGTAGCATTTTTTTGTTGTAAAATCTGCGTTGAAACATTGCACTCACTGTTTTTAGCAATTGAATTGTTGAATCAGCAATTTTTTTTCCGTGTATTATGGGGACCCACCCAAGCCAATTTAGACTCCTTATTTGAAAAAGTTACCAAAACAGTTGAAAAAATTTCTTAAAGTAACTTGCAACCATGAAACGTTGGAAAAAGATGTTAGACATGCAATACAATCAATGACCGAAAGGTGAAGAATATCCAAGGGGAGGCTGCAATGACTGTAGAGTAGATGAGTGAGCAGTTTTCAACATATTCTTAAGCTAACATTTTTCTCATGAACGAATTTGAAAGCACTATTTGCTCAGACCCCACAAAATGTCCCGTTTCTAAGTCAAATGAAATTCATACCAGTGATAGAGGGGTACTTCCGACGTCCGAATCCCGGGTCGGTTTAGTCCCCAGTTCCCTGAGTTGTCATTTTTGAAAGTCGAAACATGTTCACCCCCTTAACTTTGAACAGTTAAAGATATCAAGGTGCGGTTTGTCCAAGTAGATTTTTTATGGATTTCATATGGAGTTTTGTACATTGTTACCAAAATCAAACTATGATTTTTCGATTTTTTACGGTGTACAAATATGTTCAACCTGAAAAAGTTGGTATAGCGCACGCACACAGGAAAATAATAAACAAGCCTAATAAAAGCCCCCTGTGTAAGCCTTCCAACGGTAAATTAATTTTTCCGGGGAAACGTTTCTGTCGTGAGACACAGGGCTTTGAAGTCCGACTTGGCTTGACTTTTGAGGTCCCGCAGGATCCGTACCTGAAAAAATCAGTATTACGCACGCACGTAAGAAAATGAAAATCATATGCAATGGAAGTCCTATGTATGAGCTTTCTAACGGTATATTGGTTTTTCTGTGAAGTTCCCTGTTGCGCGTTTTTTAGGTCCCTCGGGCGGCTTTACAGGGTACTTAGTAGACAATTATCGACCTCGTTTATCGATTCCTTCCTCAGGAAAAGCGGCAGTGTCCAGCACTCAACTTGGATGGAAACACCAAGAAGGATTAAAAGTCGCAATCTCAAGAATTGTGTAAGAATATGAAAATGATCTTCACTTTTCAGACACTTTTCTCTCCAAACTTGTCACCTTGTATGTTTTCCAAGACTTCGTTTCTAGCATCAGGAAGTCACTTGATGGAAGTGTGAAAATCATGATGGTTTAGAACCCAGCGAATCCCATTACGGTTTTCCTATTTATTTTATTCCTATAAACTTCCCCTTAATATTTTCTTTTACCCTCTCTCCAAGTCCCACACCAAATCAATCTGTCTATAAGTGGCTGTGGATTCTGAAAAGATTAAAAGCCGAAAAACTCAAAAAAAGGGGGAAAAATTGTTGTATAAGGAAGACATGATGCATACAAAAGGATATGTAGTCTTTGAGACTCAATTGAAATTGTATGTCAAATATTAGAGATTCCGACTTATTCCTTGCACCCCTTTATCCGTCCTGAGTGTTTTCATCCAAGTTGAGTGCTGGACACAGCCGCTTTTCCTGAGGCAAGGAATCGATAAACGAGGTCGATAATTGTCTACAGGGTTGCCAGCGACCGGGAAAACCGGGAAAAAAATCAATCGGGAAAAGTCAGGGAAAGTCAGGGAATTTCGGTGTTGGTCAGGGATTTTTCTGATTTTTCGTGGAATTAGGCGCGGGCGGTCTCGGGCTCGCGTTGCGGGATCAACTGACTACTGCGTTCGATTGCGGAGGATGGTGGCGCTCTCGCTCGGCTTCGCGAGGAACTACCGGCATTCCGACATTCCGACCATCGCGTCGCGTCGGACCTGCGCGCGCGTGTGAGGGTGTGTGTGTGCGCGTGTGTTTACGTTTGTTCACATAACCTCTCCATTGCAGTTTTTCAGGATCTCTATCAACAATTTATTTTTTTGTAAGAAAGTCATTTAGACATTTTACTTAAAATTTTTGTTAACAATATTATTAAATTATAAAGCACATTCAGTAAGATTATCCTCATGTCACTAGCATTTCTTTGCCTTGAAAGGGATGGAATGCCAAAGGAAATTCTGAATCACTGATTCTGGAAAGTGTCCTTCCTGCACCTTAATCCTTCATTGCTGCTTGTGATAATTGGGAAACATCCTCTGAAACCTCAAGGTCCAATCTTAATCGCCAAAAATATTTTTTGAAATACACCCTAACCAAGCAGTTTTCTGTACCTAGCCCTTGCGTTGCAAATGTGCATGTTAACTAACTGCTAAAAATTTAAATAGTCGAAAACAGCTCTCATTTTCACTTTAACAGAGTGCGTCAAATCCATACTTAAACGTCAGGGAAAAATATTGGAAAGTCAGGGAAAAGTCAGTGAATGGAAAAAAATAATTTGGCTGGCAACCCTGTATCTACTAAGTGCCCTGTATCGTGTTTGATTTAATGTAACCTGCGACGTGCACATCATCATGGAAGACATTACAAGCCGCCCGAGGGACCTAAAAAACGCGCAACAGGGAACTTCACAGAAAAACCAATATACCGTTAGAAAGCTCATACATAGGACTTCCATTGCATATGATTTTCATTTTCTTACGTGCGTGCGTAATACTGATTTTTTCAGGTACGGATCCTGCGGGTCCTCAAAAGTCAAGCCAAGTCGGACTTCAAAGCCCTGTGTCTCACGACAGAAACGTTTCCCTGGAAAAATTAATTTACCATTGGAAGGCTTACACAGGGGGCTTTTATTAGGCTTGTTTATTATTTTCCTGTGTGCGTGCGCTATGCCAACTTTTTCAGGTTGAACATATTTGTACACCGTAAAAAATCGAAAAATCATAGTTTGATTTTGGTATCAATGTACAAAACTCCATATGAAATCCATAAAAAATCTACTTGGACAAACCGCACCTTGATATCTTTAACTGTTCAAAAGTTAAGGGGGTGAACATGTTTCGACTTTCAAAAATGACAACTCTGGGAACTGGGGACCAAATCCGGATTCTGACGCCGGAGGTGCCCCTCTATCACTGACATGGAGTTCGGTTTACTTGGAATTGGGACATTTTGTCTGGTCTATGCTGTGTGCTTACAACAATCGAGCAATAGGGAGAACACTGGTGGTGGTGTCCCTGCAAGTGGAATCACGAGACATCGAGCACAGGCAATCGGAAACGTCGATTTCGTAGACAAACGAAGATTGATAGCAGGAAAGATCCTAACAACTCGAAATCTTTTACTTTTCTTTAATTTTAATCCATTTTTTACTTTAACCAAGCATTTGTCCATCATTTTCATCGTATTTTATAACCTGGAGTAACAGTCTATCGGCTCATTGTGATGTGCATTCTGAAACTGAAAATCAGTTCTCACAAGTTCAAACCCTAACATTCTTTTCATTTTCGCCTCAAATCAAGTCTCCTATAGTTTCCTTATTCAAAGCATAATGTTCGAAATTCATTCAAGAGCTTGAAGTTCACCTTTTTATTAGAACTACAGCCTGTTGAGTGTTGACCCCTCAAACTTTACCAATATGATTTCTTGTGGTTCAAGATTCCTCTGGCCTGCACCAAACGATTACACATCAGAGATGTGTCTTATGATTCTTCAAATTAGCAGTTTAAAAGTAAATTAGCGACTACAGGGACTTAATCCAGTCCTGCCCCTTTCTTCAGTGTTTGTTCTTTGTGCACGACCAATCTAGTGCATACACAGGTATTGTAGGTACAGGTATTATCGCCTATTTTCGATTAGTAAGGCTCTCTCTTTAGCTGCTAATTTACCAAAGAAATTCCCCCAGTTGCGCAGGTAATTTTGAGTGTGTTTAATTAGTGGATACCTCCTTGCAGTGTCTCAAAGTTTCGCACATCCATCTTAAGTGGGTTTCGCAATTTTCGCATGTAGACGATTATTTTTTTAAAGAATGTTAGGGTTTGAACTTGTGAGAACTGATTTTCAGTTTCCGAATGCACATCACAATGAGCCGATAGACTGTTACTCCAGGTTTTAAAATACGATGAAAATGATTGACAAATGCTTTCTTAAAGTCAAAATGGATTAAAATTAAAGAAAAGTAAAAGATTTCGAGTTGTTAGGATCTTTCCTGCTATCAATCTTCGTTTGTCTACGAAATTGACGTTTCCGATGGCCTGTGCTCGATGTCTCGTGATTCCATTTGCAGGGACACCACCACCGGTGTTCTCCTTAATGCTTTATCGGTGCTCACAGTCCTCTGACCGAAAACTCACCTTGAATTGCTGAAGAAGGTCATGAGTGGTCACGTTCATTTCAGTCGTCTTTTTTCAACACGGAACTTCTGTCTCTGGTTCATCCATACAAGAATTTTTCTAAAGGGAATATAATGGAAAATATCTTGTCTCTAAAATGCACCCAATATTAGTTCCTTATTGTCAACAGAGGGTGTTTACTTGCATTATAGTCTGGTAAGTTGGCACTCTGAATGTGGAAGATTAGAATTTTAAATAGGTGTCTACACGCCTAGTAAACCTGATATTGTAAAGGAATTTCATCAGGTTAGAGAAATCAGGAAAAATTCAGGGAATTTGATGATAAATACTGAAATTTGGGAAAAATCTTTAAACTTAAATTCTGAATAAATGTCAGTGCTGTCTAAACAATGAAACTGACAAGGGAAACCTCCCCAGCTGCCGCCTCTGATAGGGCTGAAATATTTTCTATGTCTCATTGGATGAATTCAATGTGACCATGTTTGGTGTTTTTTTCCAATGGGCCCCAGTAACAGCCTAAGGAAATGTGGAAAAGTCAGGTTTTGAACGAGCGTTGGGAGGGGCAGGCAAAGCCAAGCAGCGCTTGAGCCTCTAAAAGCAGGGATACGTACTCCCATGGGAATTTTTTGTGCCTTGGTCCGCAAAACGTTCATGTTCCATCAAAAGGGCCCTTAAATTAGTGTAATAACGGCCCCGGTCTGCGTCTCCCCAAAATATTTGGGGGGGAGGGGGGGGATTGAAACATCGAGAAAAGATGGAGTATAGTCTAGTGAATGAGTTGGGCCAGTTTCATAGGAACTTGCAACGAGCATTAATGACTCGTTTTGCCAGCATCCCTTTATGACATGGGCAATCAGAAAAATCCCGTGCTTGAAGTTTCAAAGGTTTGCAGTGCTATGTTGAGAAGGAACAACAACAATGCACTGGGTGATCAGTTATTACACCAGTCAGGAGCAAGTCATACAGAAGGAAGCAGAACATGTGGAATGTTTAGTTTTTTTTCCCTTAAAGTTTTTAAGCAAGTTGAGTTATTCAATCCTTTTAGTTGAACAACTGATACAAAATTGACATTTACACTCTTTTCAAAAGTTGAATGTCAGTACCTTGGTTTTGTCCCTTGCTAATTTTAGCTAAAAAGTACAATTTGATCATGAAAAATGAAAATTGGCGTGCAAACAGACTATTGCATCAGCAGAGCTTGTTGTGATGGATTACAGTTTTACAAAGGCTATTGTGATTTACACCTCACCAAATATTCTCAATGGGCACAGTTATTGATCAATTATTGTACAAATGCATTCCAGGCATTGCCCATCAGTGCTAAAATGTAGGAAAATCACAAAAATTTATAAATGTAACAAATTATCTAAGTGAATCATTGTGTATGAAAGTACGAGAACTGATAAATAAAAGAAATGGGAAAATAGATGGTTTTTTTTTCGAATTGAAATTAGTGGTTATGAATAGAAGAAAGCAGAAATGATTTAAAGTAACCAATCAGACCAACATCACATGGAAAAATTGTGTCTGTAAATTAGTGAATACCTTTCGTAAAACCAGACTCGGTATTACTCACTGGTTGCAATATTAGATAAAGCTGAGCATGAAGCCCTTTTTTGAACTTCTTATTGAGGATTTAACGATTGGATATTATGAAGTATCACTCACCCGATTTTGATGTTAAATAGTACTTGATACGTTCTTCTATTTTTCTTTTGTGCAAAACAGTTTCAGTAATCTCCAGACTTAATTCACAAAGATCAGTTTAAAGTCAGATGGAGGTACACATTTGTTGTAGGGTTCTTTACCCTAACATTGAAGTTAAAGTTGAAATACATCTGAAGATGATGTACCATAACAATCATTTTTAAGTAAAATAGTGATATTCAGAATCTGTAGTTGGTATGCACTTTCGTTTGTTTGTTGTCAATGTTGTTGCAACTGTCAATGGTATGTTTGTGTAGCTAAGCACCGTAGACCCTGTTGCTTCATCATCGACCAATGCGACGGCAGCAGCCAACATAAGCAACTCGGCAGTTGCCCAGGCGGGTGTCGGGCTAGACCTGGCCAGCCTCTTCAACCAATCTGGCTGGGATTGGCAGCAAATTGCCATGTATTTCTGGGTGGGTAATATTTTTATGATCTTGGTTTTGTTCAACATATGGTTCTTATGCTTAAAAGATTTTCCCACTCTTGTTATTTTCATCTCTGCTCTACGCTGATGTATAATTGCTGTATGCATGTATAATGTGGTTGTGTAATGCTGCCTACGGTGTGCAGGATTTCTAAGCTGAGCTCTGACTGGGTATGGTTGATTGAGTGCTCTAATAAGAGTGAGACCAGTGCCAGTCTCTCAGTAGGACCCCAGCAAAGCACTTCCAATGCACCAGTTTGAACTGAATGACTTCCTCCCCTTCAGCGCTCAGTTTTGCACTTCAACGCATTTGAGTTCATTTTGTAACTCTCAATCTTACTCTTGATATTTTTGGCTTCGATTTACTCAGAGCTAATGTCGTCTCAGCACGACTATATCACCCTGACACTAATGTACATCTCGCGCCTTATTGCTAGTCTCTTATCTCAGGATTCTTGAAAGATAAGATTCCATCTGAATTTTTCCACTCTGAAACTTTCATTTTAAGCATATTAATGATACCTCTCTGCCTTATTTTATCCATTTAAGATAAGGATTTGTACCCAACTTTTTTCAGACTGCTTTTAATTCTCCAAGCAATTAATGAAACTACGTAATAAAGCTGATAAATAGCTTGCCAATTGTTCTGTTATTAAAGCAGCTTCTCCTGTGCACCAACCGGTTTCCTCACTCTTGGTCAGGGTTTTTGTCTATTGAAAATATCCTTGTTCATTTTCTTAAATTATCTTACTTTCCTTTCCTTCCTGAGCTAGGAAGTAATATATATTGCACCATTACAGAATGTCCTTTATTCCATTGTGTATGTAAAGTTGGGATTTTTTGAAAAGGCCGCAGAAGTGTAGAAAGAAAGTAGAAATTGCTGTTGGTAACTTTTCTAGCGTGTCTAATAGTGGAGCGCATGAGGAGTACCTTTTTTACGGCACTTATTTACCATCAATAGTTTTGGGAACAAGACTGTAAAACTTCTTTGGAGCGACCCTCGCATTTTCATATTTTATCTCAGCAAATGAAATAAAAAAGCTCATAAATTGCAACCTAGGTCTTGTATAAAGCCTTATCAAGTACATAATTTTTTTTTTTTAATTTCAATGGTCTCTGAAAATCTTCACTGTGGTTTAAGAATACAAGAAATCTACTGAAGTTATATTTTTTGATCTCATCGACTCCAGATTCGGTTTATTTTATCCTCTTTCAAAGAAGTTTTAATCGTGAAAATAGGGTCTAACCTTGTAAGGAAATTTCTAATTGAAAATTCTCCGAATTTGACATATTTATTGTCAGTGTTTTAGGACTAGTTAGTTTGGTAAGTTGTATCGATAACATTCAATGACTATATGATCCCAAAGAATTTAAATCTGAGAGGTTTAAAAATGGCTTTCTGTGTACTTAATACAAAAATGTCATAAGCGCCTCGAATGCTCATTACAGACTCAAAGCCCCGAAATTTGTGCGTTTTAAACGGTGTACGCAGATTTCATTCAAGCTGCGATGATCTCATACAATGCTGACAAGCATGGTTTTGGTCTGAACGGTACATGTTCTTGTCTGTTTTGGCTTTTTCACTGTAGGAACCCAATGCCTTGTGTCAAGAAAACGAGTATTTCTGCCTCTGTATTGATCAATTGAGGACCTTGCACTAATGAGGGCCTATACGCATGTAGGCCCTTATTACTCCCATCAGCCTCTCGGTTTCTCTGTACCCTGGACTGTAGTGTGGTATTGGTAGAATATTGATAGGTATCAGCTGGAGCAGGTGCGAGGCGTGAATGATCGATTATCAATATCTCGCCATTTGAAGCTATGGTAAAGAATCGATCACTAAGGCGTCCGCTGCGAACACCCTGATAATCGATGTTTTTTCATAGATTTGAGTGGCGTATCAATCGATATATCGCAAAGCACGCCATGCCACTGGGCTGGAGATCAAAGACACTCTTTTCCGTGTCGAGTCAGGCTTCAAGAACGATGAGTGAAAGAACGGCTTAAATGCCGTTTTTGTATCCTTCAAGTTGGCTTCGCGGGTATCGCTGATAGTGACGAATCGATTTATTTCTACTGCTGAAGCGGAAGATGACCTCAGTTTCCTCCTTCCGCCTACCAATTTTCTGGAAACTCCCATTTTTCATGTAAATACTCTTTGAAGGTGACAACGTTATGCTTCTACGTAACATTGGCATCATTCTGTTTGGTCAGCATCAGTATAATTTCATTTTGTGTTATTCTCGCGTGATTATAAAGAATTTTTACTTTATATTTCAATCAAAATGATTGTTAGGCGCAATGAAGGCCTATTAATTGATTTTTTAAATTAAATCTATTTCAATGAAAACCGGAAATATATCTCAATATTTACCTGGAACCCCTCAGTATAAAGGTTTAGGTTGCCCACAAAAACAAAAGCCGGGTACCTGCTCAATCGGCGTAGTACATCATAAACAAAATTTTAAATACGTTTTTTTCACAATGCGATCTTCAGTTATAGGCCCCCAATCGTGCAGTGTCCACAGTTTTGCTACCCTGTTTGTTGTGAATTGATGAATAGCTGCAAACATCATCAACACCTGGATGTTTCCAGCTCTGAAGGTTTTCAGTTGTCTCTATCTAGATTACTTATACCGGGTGTCCGTAAAGTAACTGAAAAGTGGGTATAACTTTTGAACAAAAAAAGATAGAAGGTCTCGGTTTGCGGCATTCTTCATCATCCAAAAGGGGAAATTTTTCAATGGGGGGCTTTTCCTGGTGGACCCCCCTGGGGGGGCCCCAGGGGGGGCAACTTCAAAAATTCAAATGGCAACCCCCATTTTTTTAGACATGATTAAAAAGAACTTAAAAAGACAAGAAAAATGGCGCAAATAAAATTAAAATCGGTTATTTCGTTCAAAAGTTACAGCCGGTCAAAGTTTTAAATTGACCACTTTTCAAAAAATCGCCAATGAGCTCCAAATTATCGGAAAAACGAAAACAAACCGGGAATGAAAAGTTTGAAAAGTGCTTTTTAGGAAGAGGAAAAACAACTGACGTTGTCACAAGTCTGGATGGCATTGTTTCAAAATAAAATTTCGGAAAATTCAACATGGCGGCAAATTTGAGGAAACGCAAAAAATGAAAATTCCAGAAACTGTTATCTTTCAATTACCCTCTAGTTTAAGGAAATCAAAGGTATCAACTTTTATTCCTTTATTTGGCCAAGTAAGAGCAAATTTGCTGACTTAAAAGTTGTCAAGCGGGGCACCTTCAATCGTTGGAGTATGCGACATCACAGGATTAAGTGTGCTGTCGAAAAATGAAGCCGATGTGAAAAAGCGCTCCTCCTTTGGGATGCTTCAGAAATGTTTGAGGTCCTCCTCCTCAAATTTAACGAGAAAAAAGAAGAAAAATAAAATGTAGCAATTTTTACCCACAAACTTGGCGAGCCAAAAAAACATGATTTATCCTGGTGGGGTAGGGGCGGTGGACATTTTTGACATTTCTCTCTCTGAAAATTAAAAATCCAAGAATAATTTTAATTCTCTAACTCCTGGCACTCCAATTTGGCAAGGAGGATACCTGCTACGCTTCCAATTCCGAAGACGCCGTTCTACTCTTGATTATTATCTGAATTGAGATTATCTTATTGACAGTCTCAACCTTACGATTTGAGACACCAATATTTTCGGTAACATCTGATGCACTATCTGATCGGTGACACGGTGAAGCGTAGCAGATATCCTCCTTGCCAAATTGGAGTGCCAGGACACAGTGGGTTTTAACTAAATCTAATTAAGAAAATGAAAGTCCCCATGTCTGAAAGCGGAAAAGAACAGCGAAACACCTCAGGAAAACATCCCTGCTGAAAAGAAAATCATTCGTTGGGCCGTTTTTTTTTTTTGCCCCCCCAAGCCAAAAGGCGGCCGATATGCGCCGCCGCGGGGTGCAAATGTTACAACTCCCTCACAATGTCAAGTGGCACATCGATTCCTACGTAATTTTGATCGTAGAATCCGAATATGAGGTCAGAAATCCCTCACAACCAAAAGGGATCGCGCAAATTCAAGATGGCGGCCAAAAATAGGCCCCGGAGTAAAAATTCTCAATTCCAGCTTTTGGTGACGAGTGAGATGTCTTTTTTTATGTTTTTTGGGTCATGGGATCCAAATTTGAGGTCAAAAATTTCCTTCTGCCGACAGGGATCCCTCAAATTCAAAATGGCTTCCATTTTGGGGCTGACATATTATTTCCGAAAGACGCGTGTAGTCGAGTGAGGTGTCTTTTTACATGTTTTTTGGACCACATGATCAGAAACTGGGATCCAAACTGTGTCCCTGTGGGCCGGAAGGTAAGATTTGTCCCTTAGCACCTTGATTGTAACGTTTTTATCAACTATTTAAATAAAAACTCAGAATTTCACTGTTAGAACGGCGCCAACCACACCAAGAATGCTCTATTCTTACAAATAATGTTTGACCTTTTTGTCTAGCAGGGGCTATAGTCCCCTGCTTCACAAAAAAACTAGCGCAAGAGAAATAGGAACAAAACAAAAATAATCTTCTTTGAACAGTGAAACAGTGAAAACAGTGAAATTCTGAGTTTTTATTTAAATAGTTGATAAAAACGTTACAATCAAGGTGCTAAGGGACAAATCTTACCTTCCGGCCCACAGGGACACAGTTTGGCTCCCAGTTTCTGATCATATGGTCCAAAAACATGTAAAAAGACACCTCACTCGACTACACGCGTCTTTCGGAAATAATATGTCAGCCCCAAAATGGAAGCCATTTTGAATTTGAGGGATCCCTGTCGGCAGAAGGGAATTTTTGACCTCAAATTTGGATCCCATGACCCAAAAAACATAAAAAAAGACATCTCACTCGTCACCAAAAGCTGGAATTGAGAATTTTTACTCCGGGGCCTATTTTTGGCCGCCATCTTGAATTTGCGCGATCCCTTTTGGTTGTGAGGGATTTCTAACCTCATATTCGGATTCTACGA